CTCCCCAGAGAGGTCTGCCTGGCGCCGTCGTTATTTGTTTTTCGGTGCCAGGCGAAGACCTTCTTATTCAAGCGGCATTTTAACTGTTAATATTACTGGATTTTATCTGGCCAGGGCGGCTTATTTTATACTGTATTGTTGTATTTTTAATTTAATATTTATATTTTTAATTTATATTATAATTATTTTAACTTAGTGATGTAAGCCGCCCCGAGGCTTCGGCGAATGGGGCGGCATAAAAATGTTTTAATAAATAAAATAAATAAAATAAAATATCACCAAGATGTTAGATGATTACACTGTTCTCTGATTTGCTCCCCTCGAACTTTTTATCGCTTGGTGAAGTGAGGCATGCGTAGCACTGGCTTTGGAAGTGATGTGTCTTTATATTACTGTTTCTTTGGAGTGAAACTGAGCCTCAATGGAAGAAGTAGCAGCAACACGTCCAGCAGAAATGGAAAGATTTCAACTACTAGTCCTACAGAGAAAAAATGGTGGCTTTGCAGCAGCAAGCCCATCGAGCAGTGAAGGCTTTGCTGCGAAACCTGATCAAGCGCCATAAAAACACGCAAAAACATAAAGCACGATAACCAGTCTGGGCTTACACTAGGACTTGGAGCAGCAACTACAGACAGTCATAACTGATTCAGAAGACTGGCTGAAGAATGCCCAGTTTTGGGTAACTGAGCAGCTCCATAAGCTGAAGGAGCACCTGGAATGGATGAGTGCAAAATTGAGCAAGTGATTCAAGTGAGGTTGCCCAAAGGACCCAAAGAACAGGCGAGGTGCCCTGTCATAGTATTTTTTAATTGGATCCAGTCAGTGATTGGAGGAGACTTTCTCAGAGGAAGTCCTCCTTGCCAGCCTTGTTGGGCAGCCACAATGTTTGGCTTGCAGATGCCAAAGTCTGCTCTAAATTAAGTAAGTACTTGTCATGGTGATCCAGGCTGGTTTACCCTGAATCCAGACGGGTTGCTCCTTGGACAAAGGGTCCACCTAACTGAGAATCCAATTGTTCCCTGGAACATGCTGCCTCTTCTTCAGAGAAATAGCTTTGGTCACCCTGTGATGACCAGTGTTGCAGCTTCAGGAGGAGGAACAGGACTTAAACAGTGATGTGCACTTTATCGCTTGTATTTCTAGTGCAACAACTACCACAAGTCACAGCATAGCGCAGCGCTTGCAGGAGAAGCTGCCATTTCAGCTTGCTTTTTAAAAAAGGCCTCTAACTACATGCATAGCTTCTTTGCTGTGCAGGAATGGTTCAAAAATAAATGGTGTGACTGCTCACAAATGCTTAGCTGCATAGGTGTGCTGTGAAAATTAACTGCAGATAAATCCTGGATTCCCTGCCCCAAATTCTATGAAAAATCAGTGTGAGGAAAGAGCAAGGAATGAAAGGAGGATTGACGAAAGGTGTAGCTTCTGCTACGGCAAGAGGGGGAAATGTTGCACATTAGGTTGTACAACGTCAGATCTGGTCCTGTGTTTGTAAGTTATAATACAGCCAGACTGGAATGCAAATGTTTTTGTATTGCACAGAAACAACAAACACTCTTTCTTGTGCAAAAAAAATAAAAAATCATAAAATTGGTTTTAGAAAAAGTGGGATATTGTGGGAGAAATAGCAGCAGAGAAATGGGCTATGGAGTACACTGCATGCCTTGACTAGAATTCTGGAGCAAAAAACCCCCCATATATACCAACCCCTCCAAACATTTGTGGTGCAAAAAGAGGGGGGGTGCTACCCTCTAGTGTGCCACTTGGGAGCTGTGAGGGGGCTGTAGCCAGCCATCAAACCATGATCTCCTGAAAACTGGGAAAGCGGAGGAAGGGCTGTGGCAAGTATAAAAGGCTTGTGGTCACAGCGCGGGTCCCACTGTTCCACTTTGCTGCTTCAGCATTTGCACCGTGGCTGCATTGGAAGTGGCCTGGGCAGAAAGGCATTTTGCCCCTCTTGCCAAGAGGCTCACTCGCCACTTCCCTTTGCTCATGATGGAGATGGATGCCCAGTTTTGGACAATGGGATAACCCACTGCAGGTGACTCCTACCCACCGTGGTACAAGCCATGGGTTATCAGGGAAGCTCGTTGCCCAAGGATAAGGCATGCTGTGGGAAATGGTCCAGGTTTGCATGACACAATAGGTCACTGTGCATGGTGGGCTACCATGCTGTGCAAACCCATTGAGTGTGGGGCTGTGGTCAGGTTGTGTGGAGATTGGAGCCTGCTTGTTCCTGCAAATTCTTCCAGGCATTTTTTCCTGCAAACCAAATTGTTCTCTTCTTGGCAGTCTATCTAGTCACTCTTATTCTGGCAGGAAATTGCTCTCTTGGCTCTGGGAAATGATTTATTTCTCATTTGATGGACTGCCGAGTTGTTTCCCTTATTGAATCCATGCTTCCTCTTTTACACCATGAATTGTCAATTTAGCAGCTTTTGAAATTCCCATATTGGTCTGGTGCTACCCCCTCTGTACAATAATGCACTTTCAATAGTTAATGGAGCTACATTGAACAGATCCATTTCGCTGGGCCTTAGCATGATACTCTTTTTCCATTGCCTTTCTTTAAATGAAACATGTTTTTAGCAGTTGCATTTATTCTAGAAAAGTGATGGCCTTTACATAGATTTTAGAAAACTATTCACAGATAAATGAATCTGGCTGCTACCACCACCAGGCAGTGTGTTGTATGATGATCTAGATTTCTAAGGGCACAATCCAGTGTCTTCTATACTCAACAGCTTACATGCAGCCAATACCTGGCATGGGAGTGACAATTTCTGCTGCCCCATACGGTGTGTCCTCCACTGCCTCTGCTGCCCCATATCTTGTGCCCTGCACTGCATCTTGATGCAGCTCCCTAGATGTGTTGCTGCAGAGGGGGAGGGAAGGAGGCTGGGACATGATTTGGATACACCATACAGTCAGCCCCAGACTCCTTTTCTTCTCTCTGAAGCCACTTTCTGACTTTGGAGAGGAAGCTGGCATGGTTCTTTCTGCACCACCTCAAGGAGGACAGGGTGATGTTCTGGTGTTCAGAGTTCCAGCTCTGAGATCACAGAAGCTAAGAGGTGGGTCTCTGACTCATCCTGTGGCTCACCAGACACTATCTGGATTGTGCCCTGAGATAGATCTCCAGATGTGTTGGAATTCAGCTCCAGAATCCCTTGCCAGCATAGCCAATGATCACAATTACTGGGAGTTAAAGTTCCAAACATATTTCTGGTCACTCCTGCTCTAAGAAATGCAAACAAACTGGAGAATATGTAAGGCAGGTACTCACAGAAAAATAGCCACTGATATACCTGATGATCTATGCTTAGGATATGTGTCTTGTGTAAAGCATCTGTTTTTCATTAATTGTTTAAAGTTATGTTTCAAACTTTTTACATACGAGAAACAGCAGTGGGATATGGGTAGCGCATGGGTGCAGGGAGGGGACAGAGCCTGGATCAAGGCCAAATCTCAGTGAACAAGTCCATGGTTGCTGCACATAAACCTTCAGCTGTGCATATCTGTCTAGGGCAGGGGTCAGCAACCCACGGCTCTGGATCCGCATATGGCTCTTTCATCCTTCTGCTGCGGCTCCGTCACTCAAAATATGTGTCACAACTGCCAATGTGTGACACCCGCTGGCACATGATTTACTGAGCTTTTCGACCCCCAGTAGGCCAACCATGGGTAAATCCAAGAAAAGAAAAGTTTCAGAAGAAAACAGAACATTTAATGGTACGTGGGCAGATTCATTTGCTTTCACTGCTGACGAGACTGGTTTACCAGTATGCTTAATATGTGGTGAGAAATTGGCAAACAACAAAAAGTCGAATGTTGCAAGACATTTCCAGAATAAACACACGACCTTTGCTGAAAAATATCTGGATGGAGATGAGAGTAAAAAAGCCATTTCGGAACTGATGTGGAAGGTTGATGTGAGCAAAAATCATAATTTAAGTTTGGCTTTTTAATTTCATAAATACGAGGAGGACTCAAATAGACATTGAGTATTTTATTTGAAAGTAACCTTCAACCCAGTGTCTTTTTTTTTGGAGTTCAAAATGTCTTTGTTGCATGCAGAAATAAAAATTCGTTTTCTCTGGAGCAGTTCATTGATTTCATAAATGCAACACACTATAGTTTTTTTGTACGTAGCATAAAGGTAAAAAAGGATATATGCAGTGTTATCTTCATTTTAGATGTCAAAAGGGATTTGTGGCTCACGGTGTTTTCTTTTCTTTTTCTTTTATTTTGGATTTATATCCTGCCTTTTTCCTACAAAGGGCTCAAGGCAGCTTACATCATTCTCCTCCTGCATCTTATCCCCACAACAACATCCCTGTGAGGTAGGTTGGGCTGAGAGTCTGTGACTGGCCCAAAGTCACCCAGTTGGCTCCATGGCCGAGCGGGGACTAGAACCCAGGTCGTCTGAGTCCCAGTCCCATGCTCTTAACCACTACGCCACACTGCCCAGATATCTAGGTGGATATCCACTAACTGATGTCTTCAGTAAGGCTACACATTCAAAAATAGATGGGGCCATGAACTCTTCCATCCAGTGGGAGTAGTTACTCCTGCCAGTGCTTTAATTCAAGCTTTTCAGCCACCAGAAGAGCTTGGCTCATGCAGTGGCAGCTGTCTCTTTGTTGCCCCATCATTCAGACACTGACACCTGTGATGTGTACAGCTACACCTGTAAAGTGAAGGTATGTTTCCATCACTGAGGAAAGGTGGAATCCCAGATCAGAAAGACATGGAGACTTCTATCAGAAAACTCCACAACTGGTGGACCAGATTCCTCCTCAGTCATAGGAATAACATGTGAGACGGTTAGCAAGTATCTGTGTGAAGCAGCTCTTATTTGTTCAGTGAACATAGTTAGCAGCATTCCTGCAATATCTGCTGATAAGAGAGTGCAAAGTTCCATTAAGAATACTGGCATCTATTTCCAACTGCTTGATACGTATTGTGTGTGCATGTTTCTTTGTTTTTGTCTACTTCAGGACATTCATTTACCCATTCCTGATCAGAGGCAGGCCTTTCCCCCTGAAGTTGCTGGTTTCTGGTGTGCTCTTCTGTATTTTTAATGGCTTCCTTCAAGGTTACCACATGATTTACTGCGCTGAATACCCTGACGACTGGTGCAACGACATAAGATTTACTTCAGGTAATTATACCTGTGAGTTGTCAAACATCTTGCCATCCAGATGACTTGAGAACTGCCTAAAATTCACTGAACCTCAGTGCATTGAAGGGGTCACCATACATGTCTAAATGTCAACACAGAAAAACAATTGTTTGAATAGTAAAAGAAAAAGAACGCTTTGCAACATCTCTTAGTGTTTTATTTATTTATTTCATTCAATTTCTATGCCATACCATAACCTGGAGGTTCTCTGGGTTACAAATGCTAAAATAGCACAAAACCATACATAGAATACAATAAACAATTAATAATCAGATGAAATAGATAAAACAATCAAATAATTGATAGCATCTCAAAATATACCCCCACACACCAATAAACACAACAAATATATTAACCAAAATTAAATTAAAATAATCCATAACAAGTTATAAAAGTATTAAATTAATTTAAATCATTAAATTAACCAAAAACTTGTTTAAATACAAACGTTTTCACCTGGCGCCTAAAAGAAAGAACAGTAGGCACCAGGCACCCTGGGGAGTGAATTCCAGCATCTATGCACTACTGCCCAGAATGCCATCCTCCAAACCCTTTCCCCTTCGATCTCACTGGGGAGGAGGACTTCCAAAGAGGATCTAAGTGGACAGGTAGGGATATATGGAGAAACGTGCTCCTTCTGGTACCCTGGTCCCAAGCCATTTAGGGCTTTCTCTGGCAAGGACAGCACTTTGAATTGGACCCGGACTGCAACAGGGAGCCCATGCAGCTGACAGAGATGCCAGAAGTCTGTTGTTTTCTCTGTAATGGACTGAAATGGCTCCCCATATTGGAAGATCAAATGTGTGGTGAAGATATTTTGTGCTCACAAAGGCCAGCCATTTGTAAATTTCACATTCACAAAATTGACATTTGGCAATCAGTTCCTAGCTGATTTATTACTTTCCTTCTATATGCCTTCCCTCATTTTTCCAATGTTATGTCTGTTCTGTCCTGTTTCCACCTCAGGATGCAATATTTTTCTAAGAATTTTGTACAAAAATGGTATGCAGATATTTTTCTGTGTATATATTCATCTTTCCCAAGTAATTTCCCTTACTAAAATGCATTTTAGTGTCTTCTTTCTCCTAATATACTAATTTTGTGTTCATTAACCCCAATTATATACATGTGAGTATTTTTTAATCTGCATACTGCATTACAAAATTTGGAAATATGTGAATATTGCCATTGAGCCCTTCTGGTATATGTCCAGGTTTAGGAAGTGTGGATTTGGTAAATATCCATTAAAAGCAAAGCTAAAGTTTTTCTCACCCTTTCCTAGTCTTCCTTCCACTCCTTTTTTGTTCTGTTTTACATTGGTACTAAACAAGTTCTAGGATCAAAGCCAAGATCAAATGTAGGCCTAGTGCTTTCTGAGTGAGCCACAGTTAGATTTAATATTGATAAGTTTTATTGATAAGATAAAGATTTTCCACCTTCATCTGTAGAAGTAAAACCAAACACAGTTATTAACACCTTTGTTGCCCTTTTTCTGTTTACATTGTAAAGGATGCTACTCACTCCGGATTTAATGAATAGAAAAAGAACGTGGTACAGCAGTGCTGGGAGTGTACCACTTCAGCATGCAACAGAAGGCTGCTTGTCCAAACACATCTCCCTATGCAACCTCCCACTGGAAAAAGCTGATGGAGTCCCCACGCACAGGCACACCTGAAAGTAGCACAGTCAGTCAGAGGGAGGAATGCGGGTCTCTCACATGGCCCCAGTTGCTCTGTGCCGTCCCATCCCATCCCATCGCCTCCCGTCCTAGTTGTGCAAACAGCCTTTGCTTTCTGATCGCATGGTTCAAGCAGTCATGAGTATGAGACCAATGGAAGCTCTTTGGTGCCTTCAGTATATAGTGTGGCCAAGTTTTAATTCTGATTGTATGATTGTTTTAGCATTGTTTGAGTGTGTGTGTGTGTGTGGGGGGGTGGCTTTTAAAATTTTGTTTGCTGCTTTGAGAGGGGTTTCCCCTAAAGGTGGTGTACAAATCATGTGTATTCATGGGTGTATGGAGTGAACCATCATGGAGAGGCATATACAACAGACAATGGCTGCAATTTGGATTTATGCTCCCTTATGTGGGACACAGATTAGTATTATTAGTGTCAGCAACAGCACCTTATAAACTTAGGCGCTGATGCAGGTAATCTTTCAATAGCTATACCAGAGCTACAATTTTCTAAATGCTATAGAACTGAAAGATAAGGCAGTCTTTTGCACAGACTCACAATCAAATAGGTATAGTATAACAGGAAAGGAGAGGAGAAGGGAGTGGGAAACAAGCAGTGGAGGAGCAGTTTTCCCCAGATTGGTCACAATTCTAATAGGTGCTCTTTTTATCTGGGAAGGGGAAACAAGCTCCTGGTAGCTGTTCCTTCTCTGGCTGATATGTGGGGCAAGAGGGTCTCCCTCCTGCCATGATGTTCTTCCTAGGAGTCAGAAGATATAAGGCAGTCTCCTACCTAATGGATGAGGCCAAGGTGCTTACTAGGTTCATCAGAGAGAATAACCATTTGAACATAGGTTTGAAATTTAACGGTCAGGACATCCAACTGATAAACACTTCATTTTCTGCCTTTAGGCACTGTGTTGTTTTTGTTTGGCATGGGAATCAATATTCACAGCGATAGCCTCCTTCGCCAGCTCAGAAAACCTGGCGAGCAGACTTACAAAATTCCACAAGGTATGTCTGTCTTCCTCCATTTTCTCAGCAATATAGGGTGACTTCTGATGCTATGCTTGCTCCTGTAGAAATGTGTCCCCACAGTTTGAGAACACAAAGGGAGGGTGAAGACAGCATGAAACTATGCAGTTAGGTCCCTTCCCTTCATCAGAAGTACTTAATGAACAAGAGGAATGGATCACAAATTCTTGGGCTGTGCATGTACGCTCTGCTTCTTCACTCCTAGCATATTTCTGCCTGCCTGTGGTTGGTGGAATTCTGCGTTCTACCGCAAAAAAAGGACAGGCTGAGTCTCCCCATCAATGATCCCTTCCAGCTGGAATCTTTTATTCTCTGTCACATATGGGCACTTGATTTTGGTCACTCTACTTTTCTGAGAATTAACATCTCTTATGTGGTAATTTTACATAGGTGGTGATCCCATACAAAGCCAGGGCCAGAGTAGATATGGTACAGACAAGGATGGTACATGTGCCTTTTTTCATAGTAAAGCAGCATGTACCAGGGTATTGCTTTGAGAGTAATAGGAAGGTGTGGGAAAGGGATGTGGAACCTGCCCCTTCTGCATCTTACCCTTATTTTCAGTCTGTCACCCCAAACACTTTTCTCCATTCAGCTCTGGTGCTGCCAGTGAGTCAAGAATAGATAAATGTGGTTGGAGAGGGCAAATATGGGGTGGGAGAGACTTTGGGACTCCCTTTGTATGAGGAAATCTCCACTGGGATCAGAGGAGGGGATTTTCCTTCTTTAACTGCCCCCCCCCGGTTAAAATTTTGGGGATATGACAGGTGAAGGGGGAAGTATATAGTCTCCTATCCCAAAGGACAAAGGTCCTGATTTGAATCAAGGCCAGATTGACCCTGCTTATACTGGACTGTTCTGTGGTGTTAGGGTGGTTGGAGCTGCATTCACCCAACAGCAGGAGGGCCTCCTATTTTGTACCTCTGCTCTAAGTAATGTTGAGAGAGAAGCAATAGTTCTTAGAACTTACTCTGTCCAGATAAATAGCTATTGCAGTAGGAATGTCCAGAATACCTGTTGAGAACAGGCTTCTGAAAGACAGCTGCTCCTCAGGCCACTACTGCTACCATCTTTCAGGGAAACACAACAAGGTATTGAAGTAACAGCAGCTGTTACTAATTTGGCATATAAAACCGTGAAGAATTTAGGACAAGTCCTTCCACAGACCTGTTAAAACACTGTGATCTTCAGGGAAGGCCTCACCATCTGGTGGCAACTAGACTTTCCCCTTGTATGACCTCTCATCCACAATATGAAAGATACCAGCAGACTTGTGCTTTAACAAATTAAGTACAAAATCTTATGTATATTTAGACAGAAAAAAAGTCCTTCAGTTGCCTCATTTCCCAGTTAGGGAGCCTTCTAGGAATTGTAGGACATTCTGCTTTCTAAATATGCAAAGTATAGCACTCTGTTTTAAGCTTTGTCTTACACAGCCTTGTAATCTGAAATATTGTTGTGTTTTATTGTTGAATAATTTCTTGCAAAAGGGATTTTTAAAGTGGGAAGTGGTATTTACCTACTTAAATAAACGAATACTAAACAAGAAGAAAAGAATTAAACTATTGGTTGCTTCTTACCACAAAAAACACCCGGTATTCTGCTTCTCTTGCTTTAGGGCAATACAATCCACGTATAAGTCTGCTTTTATTATTATGAGCTGCTTTGAGAGCCATTATGCTTGAAAATTGGCATACAGTTTTGCTTACAATATACTGTAAAAAAAAAAAAAATGCCTGGGAGTATGCAGGATTGTAGCCTGGGAGCAGCCTGGGGTATGCAGGATTGCAGCCTTCACTTGGATTTGGCTTAGTGTTCAGGAAAGGAGAATCAGCATATTGAATTGGCAGCGTGATGAAGATCTAGGAAAAGAGAATCAGCTTTCATGGGTCCAATAAAGTTATACATTTTTTATTTTTTTGTGTAGGAGGTCTGTTTGCATATGTATCAGGAGCAAATTATTTTGGTGAAATACTGGAATGGTTTGGCTATGCTATAGCAACCTGGTCTCTCCCAGCACTTTCCTTTGCACTTTTTACACTCTGCTGCATTGGGCCTCGTGCCTACCATCACCACAGGTATTCAAGCTATTGTTATTTTTTACTAGCATCTGGCAATGTTCTAGGAAAATGATATTGCTTAGAACTGGTTCACCATTCACTATATGACTGTAGCATAAACAGAAGAGCATACAGATGTGAATAAGTCATCTGCTATCAAGCCTCAAAGATGGAATTTTCATATTGCACTGCATCATCCTACACTGTAGGGACCAGCTATATGCTACATGTTTACTGAATGGATACATATATAACGTGACTTTAAAAAATGAAAATTGAACACATTTTTAGAGAAGCGGTCAGGGGATGTGTGACTTAATACTTTCCCATTAACTGTTTCTCTTTTTCTTATCACACCCTCATATGCAACCTTGAGAATAAACAAACATGTTTGTTACAGAAAAAAGAATTAAGCACACACTCCCAGCTCATCTCTGTTCTAAATTCAGGTATACACCTGAATTGCGGGCGATGAAGCAGGCTGGGAGATGGCTAGAGCGTAGGTGGAGGAGATCACGGGATGAATCTGACCGAACACACTTGAAAGCCCATTATCAGGCCTATGCTGTGGCGGTGAGGGCGGCGAAAAAGAAATTCTTTTCCGTTTCCATTGCCTCCTCAAAATGCCGTCCGGCGGAGCTTTTTCGAGTGGTGCAAGGCCTGGTTTGTCCAGGTCCTAAGAAAGATCTGGTTCCACCCTCGAAGGCCCACTGTGACGACTTTGCCAAGCATTTCAGGGAGAAAATCGCTCAGATTTGTCACAAGCTATACTCTACTAGTGACTCAGAGGTTTCTGGGGAGATACCAATGCCGCCTGGTCCAAAATTAATGGATGAATTTCAGTTATTGCGGCCTGATAACGTGGACAAGGTGCTTGGATGAGTACGTCTCACCACTTGCCTATTGGACCCTTGCCCATCTTGGTTAATAAATAACTCCAAGCACGGGATCTGGATCTTGGAAGTGGTTAACGCTTCTCTGAGGGAGAGTCGGGTACCTGCCCCTTTAAAGGAGGTGGTAGTCCAACCGGTCCTGAAGAAAGCGTCACTGGATCCAGAGATGGCCACTAATTATAGACCAGTGCCCAACATCCCGTTTCTGGGCAAGGTGTTGGAGCAGGTGGTGGTGGGACAACTCCAAGCTCTCTTGGATGAAACTGATTATCTGGACCCATTTCAGTCTGGCTTCAGACCCGGGTACGGTACTGAATCTGCCTTGGTCGCCCTGTACGATGGCCTGTGCAGGGAGAAGGACAGGGGGAGTGCATCCCTGTTGGTTCTTCTGGACTTCTCAGTGGCTTTCGATACCGTCGACCATGGTATCCTTCTGGATAGGCTAGCGGGATTGGGGGTCAGAAGCACTGCTTTGCAGTGGTTCCGCTCCTATCTCAATGGCCGATTCCAGAAGGTGGTGCTGGGGGACTATGGCTCTGCGCCATGGCAGCTATGCCATGGAGTACCGCAGGGGTCCATTTTGTCCCCTTTGCTGTTTAACGTCTACATGAGACCGCTGGGAGAGGTCATCAGGAGATGTGGGCTGCGGAATCATCAGTACGCTGATGATACCCAGCTCTACCTCTCGTTTTCTACTAATCTGGGTGAGGCAGTGGCTGTGCTGAACCGGTGCCTGGCCAAGGTAATGAGCTGGATGAGGGCCAATAAGCTGAAGCTCAATCCAGACAAGATGGAGGTCCTGTTGGTTGGCGGTTCGGGCTTCGGTGAGGGTGAATTGAACCTAGTCCTAAATGGAGTTGCACTCCCTCTTAGGGACAAGGTCTGCAGCTTGGGAGTGCTCCTCGACCCAGAGCTTTCATTGGAAGCTCAGGTGACAGCAGTGGCGAGGAGCGCTTTCCTTCAGCTTCGGCTGATCCATCAGCTGTGCCCCTACCTGGAGTATGACTGCCTGGCAACAGTGACACACGTGTTGGTGACTTCCCACCTTGACTTCTGTAACATGCTCTACATGGGGCTACCCTTGAAGATGGTCCGGATACTTCAATTGGTTCAAAATAGAGCTGCCAGGCTGCTGACGGGGACTGAGCGTTATGTTCACATGACTCCAGTCCTCTGTCAGCTTCACTGGCTTCCGATTGAAGTCCAGGCCCAATTCAAGGTGTTGGTGATGACCTATAAAGCCCTAAACAGCTTGGGTCCTGGTTACCTGAAGGAGTGCTTACGTCCATATATGCCCGCCCGCCCCCTGAGATCTGCGGGAGAGGCCCTTCTCCGGGAACCCTCCGTGAAGGAAATTAGGAGGGTGAGTACTTGGAGGAGGGCTTTCTCTGCGGTGGTGCCCAATCTATGGAATGCACTCCCCAGAGAGGTCCGCCTGGCGCCATCGTTATTTGTTTTTCGGCGCCAGGCGAAGACCTTTTTATTCAAACATCATTTTAACTGCTAATACTATTTATTTATTTTATTCTTCAGCCAGGGTGACTTATTTTATATTGTTAACTTGTTTTATATTTTTATTGTATAATATTTTAATTGATATATTTGTGAGCCGCCCCGATGCTTCGGCGAATGGGGTGGCATAGAAATTTTCTAAATGAATGAATGAATGAATCTTTTTAAAGGAATTTTATTGTGCTTTATCTTTTATATCTTGTACAAACCACTTTGTTACAAGCTACTTTAAGGCCTTGTTCACAGATAACTTGTTTTCTGTCCTCTAAGCACTCACCTTCCTAAGTTCAGAAACTCACTCCTATGGGGTAGTAGAAGCTTCTGGAGAATTCCTTGTAAGCATTTACCTAACGCAAAGTCAGAAATGGCACAAGCCATAGTTTGCAAGTCTACTTTAGTTTATGTCATGATTGCTGATTCTGCATAGACAGCACACTAAATACAGTTAAACATCCCTCCCCTTTGGGTGTTCTGATGGCTGAACTCATGTCACTATAATGTTGATCGTCACCATCAGTCACTCCATTTGAGCACTGCTTTCATTTAATGAACCGTTCAAAGTGAGAAATTAACTGCTGATTTCTTCAAATGATGTGTGCAAGACCACCCTCTGATGTCCTTTTGTCTATTAGTATTTCATCCTGTATCTTTTTTCTTTCAGGTATTACCTTAGGAAGTTCACCAGCTATCCAAGATCAAGAAAAGCCTTGATTCCTTTTATATTCTAAAGAGCAGTTATCTGATTTTTTTTGAGGGGGTGCAGGAGTGCTATGTGTTCTCTGTCCTTTTCTTGTCCATTTTAAAAGAGAAGTTCTATTATTTTTATTACGATGTGTAAAATGCTAATGTGACCTTCTATTCTCCTCCTCTGCTCCTCCCATAAGGACCAACAGACCACTCCATGAAGCGAAGTGGTGCTTGGTTCCAACATGTTTTGATTCATATATCTTTCCTCTCAGAGGGACTGTTGTTGTAACTAATTATGATTGAATGCGGGCTGTGGTGTTTTAAAACCACAAACTTAATTGGGCATGTCTCTTCCTTGTAAAATCTGGTTCATGACCTGCATATGGAATCAAATAAACAGTGAATCAGTGAACAGTGAACTTGTGGCAGACTTAGAATTCAGTTGTGCTAAAAGGCTGGTTCAGGTGGCTTGTTCTAGCAGGGCGCTTTCATTGCACCTCAGGCTGTGTGATCTATGCATTTATTCAAAATTTGCTCAGGATATCCCCTGGCAGTTTGGAACAGTGTGCCTTTAAAACTATGGGTATTTAAAGCATATGCTTTCATTTAGGAGAAACCAAATCATATGAGCATTTAAAAACACTTGGTGCTGTAAAAAATAAAACCAGCTTTGCCTGCAGCCTTCTAGCTAAGGTATATGACAAATAAGTTGGCAAGCATATAGTAGTTGATAGCATTGTTGTTGTTAACCAAATAGGGAGTGAAGGTTAGTAAAAGATTTTGAAAATAGAGTTTCAATCATGTGAATAATTCTCCTGCTTCATTGAAATCACACCTCATTGAAGGCACACAGGACTGCAGAGGGAATCAATAAACATTGCTTCACCCACCCATGCCAGTAGGAGCAGGACTGGATCCAAGCCTATGCACAGAAACCATACAGAAAAGGCAGATATGTCAACCAGCATATATTTTATTGAAATACAGTGGTGCCTCGTTCTTCAAACTTAATTAATTTTGGGAGGCCATTTGAATTCTGAATTGTTCAAAGTCCAAATCAATTATTCCCATTAGAAATAATGGAAAGTGAATTATCTGTTCCCAGACCCTAAATAATACCCATTTTGATAAACTTAAACAGTGAATATGGCCTCCTGATATAAATTAAGTTTGAAGTATGAGGCACCACTGTATTAGAATTTATGCTGGTAGTGTTATGTTAGTGCATTTACTGTATCTTATTGAGGAGTGGCTTTATATATATATAAAACCCAAAAATAAAGCAAAAGAAGCACTGAAAATACACAAAAATGCACACACTGAAAATGCATGAGCATTACACAAGGGATGTTTCACAGCAAGAGATGACTTGGGTGCACAACAGATGATGTTTACGCTGTGACTGCATTTTTTTCACTTTGCATACAGTTTGAACGTAGAAGCATCGTTTGAACATTGGAGCAGTTTTATCTCAACTTGAATTGTTCAAAGTCAGAGTTGTTTGAAGTATGAGGCACCACTGTATTTATATCCCACCCTTCTTGTGCAAAATGACACTCACAGTGACTTTAAAACATTTAAAAATTACAATATTATAAAAAGAAAAGTAAGCAATTAACCTGAAGGGATAATGTCAGTGATGAAAACCAAGACATAAATTTTGTTGGTCACTTTTAACAAAATCCTGCTGGAATAAAATTTATCATATATAATACATTTCAATTAAAGATCTAATATATTTATTACATTTCAGATTACATTTGCCACAGAACTCAAGGCAATGGACATGGTGTTACTCATTCTTAGTCAGTTTGCACAATTAAAAAACCTGCTCAGCTACTAACCATAATCAATCCCACTTGTATGTTGAAGCAAGAACTTTTCAGAACACCTGAACAGAACTTAGGAGAACCCACCAGGCATGAAGATAAGCATAGGGAGACATTTCCAGGGAATAAGCATACACCTTTCACTAGTTACATTTATGCCACCCTGAGCTCCTTGGAGGAAAGACAGCATATACACTTAGTTAATTACAGTGAGTATTCATAGATAGATCTTGATTCTCTTCTATAAATTTAAGTATTCTTTCCCATGACCATTGGTAGTGGCAGTAAACTTTACACATGAATTATGCACACTGTGAAGAAGTGAAATGACTCTTGGAAAAGATGTGTTATGCTCTCCTCCTCGTGTGTGGCTCCACAAACTATTCCTGAGCAGCCAGTTCTGCCGACAATTAGGTGTTTCCTTTTCATAGAGTTTGCAATGCCCTGTTCAATTTCTATTAAATTATTCCTACTCTACTGGAGAACAGTTGTGTTCCCATTATGCTGTTTCTGTCTCATTAAGCCTATCGTTATCTTGGTTTTGATGTCCATAACCAATTATCAGCATGTAAACATTTGATAAATAGATGAGCAGATCTTTCAAACAAAACATATACGCATTCATCACACATACATCACATTCATCAGAGGATGTATTTTACAGATCATCAAGGTTGAATAGCTGCCAATAAAGGGAAGAAGCATAGAGAAATATCATGTGATGGTACAAGTAAAATGCCCGAGAATGTGTAAGCTCAGGAGTGCTGAGTTGTAGCTACATAATAAGGCTGCTATATTCTTCTATCAAGTGAACATAGTGTCATACTTTAAGGTTTCTAAAACGCCACTGCCTCACGCACATGCTTCACATGGTTTACTCTATACCAGTGGCGTTGAATCTTTTCTTTGTGAAAGGCCATTTCGCTAAGGGAAAAGTCGGACAGGATCCATACCCAATGGTGACAGAGTCAAAGCTAATACTGAACAGGAATGAGCAAACTTTCTGCTATGAACAAACCCCTTTCTGAGGTAGGGAAGCATGCCCTCATGCAAGATTAACCTGAACCTAAGATGTAACATTCTGAAGTAAACTGTTTAGTATACAGGGTGTCCATGAAGTCCCTGTGCAATTTAAAATACATGTAACTTTGTAGCTACATGAGATAGAAACAATCTGTAAAAAGGATCAGAAAGCTTGATGTATAAAGTTTTTTTATCTTTAGAAATTTTATTCAGCATTTGTTTTACACAATATGTTTAACAATTGCTTGACATTTAAAAATTCCTTATTTTTCAGAATTACTGTTGACCCATGGCTCCACTAGAAGTGAAAGTAAACTGTGTTCTTTGGTTGGCTGAACTAAAATCTACCACCACTGTCCAAAGAAGGTTTAGAACTCAGTACAAGAAAGAAGCACCACCCAAGAATTCCATATCCAGGTGGATGAAAAAATTTAAAGAAACAGGTTCTGTCAATGATAAGCCATGGTCTGGTAGGCCACGTGTTTGACTCCATTAGATTTGATTTCATTAGATTTCTTTTTATGGGGACATGTGAAAACTAATGTTTATTCAACCAAACCTCGATCTGTAAAAGACTTGCAAGCTAGGATAACTGATGTAATTGCTGGCATTATTGAAAATCAGCTTGAAAATGTTTTCCTAGAACTACAGAATCGTATTACCCTTTGAATTAGTAATGTCGATGGACATGTTGAAAATTAACAAGAACAATAAAAAATTAAGTGTTTCTTCTTTCTTTTACTTTTTAAAGATTGTTTCTATCACATGTAGTTACAAAGTTACAGGTATTTTAAATTGCACATGGACTTTATGGACACCCTGTATAATAAGGTGGACTGAAGGGATGCTATGGTTGCTTTGCAGCTGCTGAATGCTCTTTCACTTGCAAACAGCAGGGTGGTCTCCCCTGTCCCTGCCTGCCTAGTGCAGTCCTCCATGCTCTCTGAAATGCTGCTCTTCAGAACTGGGGGTTCATCTGGAACACTACAGCAAATGCAACAGACAGGGACAGCAGGCAAAAGGTATCTGCAGTATTGGCTGCCTCACTGGATACAGTCAATAATCCTGCTGCAAGATGCAGTAACAGGGGAAGGAAAGAGTTGGAAAAGCCTGAAAAAAATGGCCCTGGCAAATACTGTCTAGGGGTATTTACTGACTGCGACAGAAAATAATCAGGATGAACAGGCACATTTTGGCAAAAGGGTATTCCTCCCCCTGCTCAGCAAAAATGATGTAAGCTAGGCATCTGTGAAGGAGACAATGGTCAGGGGGGCGGGGGGGATGCAGTCCTACACATGTTTCAATATAGCGAAATGGCTTGTAATTCAGCTTTCCTCAGCCAGCCAATACCAATAAGCTTCTAATAACTTTCCAAAGAAAACCAAAACAATGGTGCACTTGACAACCAATAATACACTTCTGAAATTTTATCTCTGCCTGGAGAAGTGGCAGGAATATTAATTATTTTAGGAAATTCAGTTAGCATCTCACTCACTGTCCAAACATGAAGTATAATAGTTATTATAGGCAGGGCAAAAGACGTAGATGGCCTGTGAAACCCAACAAAGCACTTAGAGGGTCAATTTTGGCCATCAAGCAGCTTTGCTACATGCGGCATTTATGATGCAGGTGTGATTGTGGAAGTTTGTGAACCCTTTGCACAATGTTGCCATCCTCCAGAGCCTCTCCCATCTTTCCAGCCTTTTCTCTCTGTATGTGTTTTTTTAAAGTAACAAAAGTATGGCATTACATTTTAAATGACAAACCAGAACAAAAGCGGCATATTGCCCAAAATCCACTATACTGCAGCTATGCCATAGCATCACCTTGTGGTTGGTTAATACATAGAAAAACAAAGAAATGCAAACCCCAGGAAAAGAAACTGTGCTAAGGACGCATTTTCCTCTCACAGTGAAAACAGAAGATATGCCTCAGTAAAGCAGTGTGCCTAATCCCTCAGGCAGAGAAGTCCTAAGTGTGACACCTCAGAGTAGGAAGCAAGCAAGATGTGTTGTATCTTTGCAGTGGTATTCTTCCCTCCTTCCTGTCCAGAGAACAACTCCAGGAAGTGCAGCCGACAAGGCTCTTTCCACACTAGTTTCAAGGACAGGTGCTGTAAGTCAGAACTGCAGTTGCACCCTTGGAGCATGTTTCTTAATAATATCTTATATAGTATTTTTACAATACAT